CCCCCCCGCCGCCCCTCCCGTCCCTCCTCCCCGCTCTCGGCCCCACCCGGCTCAGACGGCTCCGGACTGGACCGCGAGCACAGGCAGATCCGCGGGCGCCTTGAATCCCAGCGGGACCCCCGCCCAGCTCGTCCGCACGGTCCAGCCGCCTGCGCGCGCCATCGGTGAGTGGTCCCCGACCGCAGCTGTCGCCTCCCAGCCTCCGCCCGCGGAGCCCCCGAGTCTGCCTTGGCTCTGAGTTATTTCCCTGCTCGCCAAAGACCCTCAGCCCCCACCCCAGTCACTGTGTAACGGTCTCCCGGGTCTCCCCACTCCCTTCCGAAACCTCCCTGTCTCCCCCACTCCCCCCAGCCCCTTCCAGTCTGTAACAGTGCCCCCCACTCTCCTCGTCCCTCCCAGTGTCTCCCACTCCCCCATCCTCTCAGCCAGAGGGGGTCCCCTCCTTGGGGTCTCCCTCCACCGCCCTCATCCATCTCTGTCCTATTTGGTCCCTCCTCCCACCCACAAGCTCCTCTCCTACCTCACCAACCCGATTGCCTGTCCAGTCACCCCCAAAGCGTCCTCCCCAAGATGTCCCCCAGGTCCCTCCCTGCATAGGGCACCACCCAGGGCTCCCTCCCTCTGCCAACATCCCAGGTCCTGGCTCCAGCCTCTCCTTTACCTCTCTGGCATACCTTCCCCGAATTCTTTTCCTTTTTTTTTTTTTTTTTTTTTTAAGTATCATTATGATTTTATGTATCTTAACATATTTGATTTGCAGTTATTTTTGATGTTCAAATTGTCCCATCTTTGGCCAGTGGGAGTCCTGTCAAGCTGAGTCCGTGTCCCTGTGACATGCCCCATCTACGTTTGAGCACTTCCCCACTGTCTGAACCAGGCTCACTTGTTCTTTCCCCACCTCAGCCCCAGAAGCAGCCATTTCTCCAAGAAGCCTCAGTTTCTCTTTTAGTGGAAAATGGTATTTAGAGACTCCAATCTGACGAAAAGTTGGTTCTGTGAAAAGATCAGTGCAATTATAAACATCCAGTTAGACTGATCAAGGGGGAAAAAAAAGAAAAAGCAGACACAAACGACTGATATCAGGAATGAAAGAGGGGACATCACTACAGATCCTACAGAGCATGAAAGGATAGTAAGGAAATGTAGAGAACATGGTCTGGGTGCTGGAAGTGCTCACTGCTGCTGGGTTGGTAATTATTTCTCTCCCTAACTCCTTAGACCTATGATAGGAGTGCAGGATCTGCGGTCAGGTTGCCTGGAGTCCCAGCTTGAGCACTTTCTAGCAAAGTGATCTTGGGCAAGTTATTGCTATCTTCTTGAACCTACATTTCCTTGTCAGAAAAGTGGGGCTAATAATAGCCCTACCTCACAAGGTTTTTGTGAAGATTAAATGAGTTAGAGCAGTGTCTGGCATGCAGTGATCATAAATGTTACTATTCTTGTGAATGCCCAAGCCCCGTCATGATCTGGGGGGGACCCAGGCAGTAGCTCAGACTCGTTTCTCATCCTTGTGCCAATGTGTCCGGCCACTCTGTCCATCCATTTCACAGCTCCAGGTCATGATAGTCCCCACTCTCTCTGCCTAAATGCCCTTGTCATGCCCACTCTTTAGGGAGCAGCTCAAAAGTCAGCCCAGCCAGAGCTTTCCCAATCCTGTGGTTGGCTCACCACATCCCCCTCTGATGCCTACAAGTCCACTTGCCCGGCATTTCCCAAGCATCATTGACTGCTTGGTGCCCAGGTTCTGTCCTCACTGGAGGCTCTGACTGTGGGGGGTGGGGGGGGGGCGCTGGTCTCTGGAGTATTTTTGCATCCATAGCTCTTGACACATGGTGTGATTTCAGTGAAAATGTGCAAAATAATGGGAGGGGTGGAGGAGAAAGAAAAAGATAAAGGAATATACTTCGTCCAATCAGCTTCTGCATCGTTCCCTTGTTTATCTCTTGGTCTCCCACCATCAATCCCCCTTCCTCAATCATGCCGTTGTTACTGTTTCTCTTCCTCCAGCTGGAATAACCACCTTCCTCCTCCTTCAGCCATCAACTCCTGCCATTCACCAGAAGTGCTCTAGGAAGCTCCTCTTCCCTACCCATTCCACCATCTTTCTGCACCTATTCGACCTCCTGGCTCCCTTTCTTCTCCACCTCTTCCTCCAGGCAGTCCCCCATCAACATCCTCTCCTCCCACAGGTAGCTCTCCCCCTGTGCATCTCCACCAGCGAGCTCAGCAGGCAGTGTGCAGCCACCATGTTCAGCTGGCTGAAGCGGGGCGGGGCTCGGGGCCAGCAGCCCGAGGCCATCCGCACGGTGACCTCAGCCCTCAAGGAGCTGTACCGTGAAAAGCTGCTGCCTATCGAGGAGCACTACCGCTTCGGGGCCTTCCATTCACCAGCCCTGGAGGATGCTGACTTTGACGGCAAGCCCATGGTGCTGGTGGCCGGCCAGTACAGCACGGGCAAGACCAGCTTCATCCAGTACCTGCTGGAGCAGGAGGTGCCCGGCTCCCGGGTGGGGCCCGAGCCCACCACCGACTGCTTCGTGGCCGTCATGCATGGTGACACCGAGGGCACCGTGCCTGGCAACGCCCTCGTCGTTGACCCAGACAAGCCCTTCCGCAAACTCAACCCCTTTGGGAACACCTTCCTTAACAGGTGTGCAGCCAAGAGCCAGGAGTGCATCTTCCTGTCCCCGGCCCCCAAGCCTGCCCCATCCCTGCCTGTGTTTCTCTCCTTTTCAGCCCCAATTCCCTTCTCTCTACTAGATCCTTCCTCTTCCTGCCTTCTCTAGGGGAGCAGTTAAGCCAGGGACGCATGGGTTCAACCGCTGTCTAGCTGGGTGGCCTTGGGCAAGTGACTTAACCTCTCTGTTTCTCTCCTATCCTCATCTGGAAAATGGGGATAACCATAGTCCTTACTCCCTAGGGTTGTTGTGAGGACTAGATGAATTAACACCTACAAAGTGCTTAGAACAGTACCCGGCACAAAGTATGTGCTCAATAAACATCAGCTCTGATTTTTTTTTTTTTTTATAGTTATTATTCTCTGGCCTGATCTTCCTTTTCTCTTTCAAGATTCTTCCCTTCCCTGAACCTGATTCTCCTCGGTGCAGTCCTGGGTTCCCTTCTTATGTGTCCTCTCCTCCCGCCCCTCCCTGCACTGACCCCTGACCTTCCCTCTACCCCAGGTTCATGTGCGCCCAGCTCCCCAATCAGGTCCTGGAGAGCATTAGTATCATCGACACCCCAGGCATCCTGTCGGGGGCCAAACAGAGAGTGAGCCGCGGTGAGTGAGGCCCGGATCTCTGGGTCTGAGGGGGGAGGGGCTGGGGGCCTGGACTTTTGGGTCTGAGGGGGGAGGGTCCCAGGGTCTCTGCTAGGACTTGGGCCTGTGTCCGCCGGCCCTGAGCTGGTGGGGTAGCAGAAGGGAGCTCGTGGAAGGCTGTGATTCCTCCATGTTGGCACACGTTGAAGGGTGGGGGAGGCGTGTGGGTGAACACGTGCGAACGGGCTGCAGCTGCATATCTGGGTGCGTCTGGAGGATGGAGGGGGAGAGATCAAGAGAGACAGAGAGAGATACACAAAGTCAAAGATGGACAGAGATTCAGAGGGCGAGGCAACGATACAGAGAGACAGGAGACCCAGAGAGGAGGCCGAGCCGGGCAGGCAGGCCCTGGGCCCGTGTGAGCTCTTGGCTCTGTGTCTGGGCCCCAGATGGGGCTGAGGAGGACCTGGGAAGGGGAATCTGGGCGGGCGCCAAGGGCGGCCTGGAATTTATAAACAGCTGTGCAGGGGGAGCGTAGAGGGGAGGGGGTGAATTCCAGCGGGGCCTCCGAGGGAGCCGGGCCCCCACCCTCATTCCACCCAGCATTTCTGTCCCCTTCCACCCCTGTCCCACAAGGCCTCGGAGGCCAGAAACTGGGGCAAAGGAGGCAGCAGTGTGGGGCAGAGGGGAGTGGGAGGCCACTGCAGGGAGGCAAGGAGGCTGGGCCTGGGGGGGAGGGCGCGGACGGTTCCGGGAGTCCCTGGCCGCTGCCCAGGAGGCGCCTGTTCCCCGGAAGAGAGGCAGGAGGCAGCTGCAGAAGCAATGGTGGGGGGGAGCTTGGGGCGTGGGCCTGGGAGAGTCGGAAGGGAGGGAGGCCCCCAAACCAGGGCAGGGGTGCAGGATGGGAGCCCAAAGGAAGTGAAGAGCAGAGAACGGGGTCTCCTTCCCTGTCAGCAGAGGTAGGGGAAGAGCAGAGTCCGTCCATCTGTCTGTAAGGATGTGTGTGTGTGAGTGTCTGGGAGTTTGTGCCCGCAGTTGTGGCAGGGTGTGACTTTGTGTGCAGCTCTGAGGGACTCCGGGAGGCTTTGTGGGATTGTGTGTGACAGTGACTGGTGGTGTCTCCATATGTGGTTGTATCGTGAAATGTGTGTGTGAGCGTGTCGGGCAAGGGAACATTTCTGTGACTGTGCAGATCATGTAGTGTGTGTCTGGGAAAGTGTGTAATTGTGGGTGTGACTCAGGTGTCAGGGCTGTGCTTGGGATTGTACCTGTGTGTGACTGCGTAGGAAGGACTGAGAGGATTTTGTTGGATTGGGTGTGACCGCATGTGACTGTATCTCTGTATACAGTTGTGCCCTTGTGTGTACAGTGAGGGTGTGTGTGTGTGTGTATGTGCATGAGTGTATCTTTTGCGTAACTATATATGATTGTGTCTCTAGTTTGGTGCGTGTGCGAGTGCGCACGGGCTTGTGTGTGCCTGCTGCTGTTACTTTGTGTGGGTCTCACAACGTCTTTGCAATTGTGTGACCACAGATATCTGTGTAGGTTCCAGATTGTGAGCGGGGCTGTGTTTGGGAGTCTGCATCTTGTAGTGTGCGGCTCTGATGGTGTCCAGGTGTACGCTCCTGAGTGCACGAGTGTGTGTGTGCACGTGTGTGTGCGCGTGTGTGTGCACTGGTGGAGCATGTGGCCTCTGCCTGGAATATCTGTGAAGGCCACACGTGTGTGATTGTAGCATAGTGGAGCCTTCTGGCAGGGTTCAGATCTGGCCTCTGCTCCTTCTAAACTGTGGGATCTTGGCTGAGCCACTTAACCTCTCCATGCCTCAGTTTTCTCATCTGTAGAACAGGAACGTGATAGTATCAGCCTCATACGTTGCCCTGAGGGTTCAATTTAAATGTCAAAATGTGTGAAGCACTTAGAGCAGTATGTGGCACACACTAGGTGCTATGGAAGTGCCCATGATGACTGCTTTTCCTCTGCAAGGCTGTCGTTGTGTGCCCCCGGGTGCCTCTCTGCCACGTCTCCTGTTCCTGTGCTGACTCAACCTCCCTCCCTCTGTCCCTCCCTACATGAGACACACTTTCCAAAGCTGGGCCGCTGTGTGTGTTTGTGTAGACATTGGGGAGGGAGGAGGGGCCCCAGCTGCTGTCCCTCTGGCGACCTGGCCCTTTCTCCCCGCAAACAGTGTCACCCACGCCCACCCCATCCCATCCAGTCCCCAGTGGCTGCAGGAGCCTGCTTCCTCCCATGCAGGATTGGCCTGGCACCAGCTCCCCAGCAGAGTGTGGAGGCCCACGGGGCTGCTGCTCTGTTGCTTCCTACCTGCGTATCTGGAGTAAATCCCTTAACCTCTCTGTTCCTCAGTTTCCCCTTTTCGAAAATGGAGGTCATAAGAGTGCCTGTCTCCTGGGGTCGTTTTGAAGATTCAATGAGTTGAATCGGGAAGGGCATGAGGTGACTTCGGGTGCATCAGTGATGGCTCCCTGTTCTTCCCGTTAACTCCTCCATCCCTCAGGTTGCCACTCTGTTCCCTCCTCCTGGAAGCCCTCCCTGACCACCCAGGCTGGGTCAGGCGCTCCCCTCTGGGCTGCTGCATCCCAGCCTGACCACTCTGGACTGTGAGCCCAGTAAGGACAGACCTGGGGCTGCCTGAGCCACACTGTGTCCCCAGCACAGAGCAGGCGGCTCTGGGGATGGCTCCTGGACGACCCCCCAACGGTGTCTCGCAGGCATCATGAGTAATGTTTGTTGAGTGCTTACCATGCGCCTAGCACCGTTTTTTTTAATAAGAGTTTTATTGTGGTATAACTTACATGCCTAAAGCTCACTCATTTTAAGTGTATAGTTCAGTGCCAGGCACTGTTTAAGCTCTTTATATATCTTAGCTCATGTGTATTACTTAAAAAATGTTTTTCTAATTTTATTTATTTATTTGGCCGTGCGGCATGTGGGATCTTAGTTCCCCCACCAGGGATCGAACCCGCGCCCCCTGCATTGGAAGCAAGGAGTCTTAACCACTGGGCCACCAGGGAAGTCCCCTCATGTGTATTCTTTTAATCTTCACACAGTTCTAGGAGGTAGGTCCTATGATGATTTCCATTTTACTGAGGAGGAAACAGAGGTTCAGAGAGGTTACCTGCTTGCTTAAGGTCACCTAGCTGATGGGGGCAGAGCCGGGATTCAAACGCGGGTCTTCCCAACTGCCAAGTCGGGGAGGGGGGGGCGGTCTCAGCTGCTCCTCTCTCTTAAGCGTCCCTTGTTGCTGAATGAATGAGCCAACAAGCAAAAAAGCAAACAGCGTGAATGAATGAGTGAGGAAATGAAAGGTGAAAGGAATGAATGAATGGACCCAGGAGCCAGCTGTTGGGAGGGGTGCCCCACAAAGGCAAGGACCTTGTCTGAGTGTTCTCTGTGGGACCCCCAGTGCCCAGGACAGGGACTGGCACACAGAAAACTCAGTAAATGTTGTGAATAAATTTAAAATATTTAACATCTGCTATGGCAAAAGCATAACCAGGGCCCGAGTGAAATCTTTAGTTGCTGGATGGTGGGGAGATCTGACAGATCCTGGGGAGGGGCTGGGGTGATGGAGGTACTCGGGGGGCCTTGCGGCGGGTAGGGGTGGTGGGTTGTCCATAGAAGCACAGGGAGTCTATTAGGAACACTTCAGTGTTTCAATAACTGGACCAATGCCCGCTGCTAATATCTGCCTAAAGAATGAATGAAAAAGGGGAGGGTGTGATTGTCGCCTGTAGTAGATGGCTTGAGAGACGGGTGCCAGAGTGATGGGGGAAATTCTGAGGGCTGTGGAGACAGAGCTGTGGGGCACTCTTGGGGCCTCAGCTGTTTCTCATAGACAAAAATTTTGAAGGTTAACAACCTGAACATCCGGTACAGTCTAACTTGAGTCCAAAGGAATGGTGGCATCCCAGTGGCTGGAGGCTCGGGTGCTGACCTCTGCCCCTGGCGCCCATGTACCACCCCCTGCCCCTAGGCTACGACTTCCCGGCAGTGCTGCGCTGGTTCGCCGAGCGCGTGGACCTCATCATCCTACTCTTCGATGCTCACAAGCTGGAGATCTCAGACGAGTTCTCGGAGGCCATCGGCGCCCTGCGAGGCCACGAGGACAAGATCCGCGTGGTGCTCAACAAGGCCGACATGGTGGAGACGCAGCAGCTGATGCGCGTCTACGGGGCGCTCATGTGGGCGCTGGGCAAGGTGGTGGGCACGCCCGAGGTGCTGCGCGTCTACATCGGTTCCTTCTGGTCCCAGCCCCTCCTGGTACCCGACAACCGGCGCCTCTTCGAGCTGGAGGAGCAGGACCTCTTCCGCGACATCCAGGGCCTGCCGCGCCATGCCGCACTGCGCAAGCTCAATGATCTGGTGAAGAGGGCCCGGCTGGTGCGGGTGAGCAGTAATGGGGGACTGGCTGAGCAGTAACCGGGGCTGGGGAGGCAGCGGCAGCTCTTGCCTTTCCTCTGATCCTCCTCTACTTGACTGCTGGTCCCTGGCATCAACTCTCTGATTAGTTAAGTTCTCTAATCTGAGAAAGTTCTCCTGCTGTGCCTGGCCCTGTGCCGGGTGATGCTGGGAACACAGCAGTGACCAAGGCAGTCCAGGGGAGAAGACCACCCCATCCCCAGACAGTGACCATCCAACATGCTCAGGGCTGAGACTGGGGAACCCAGGGGAAATCCAGGAGGGCTTCTTGGAGGAGAGGGCATCTGAGCTGCAAACTGGAGGATGAGGAGGACAAAGAGGGGAAGAGAGTCTAGAAAGCAGGACCAGCAAGTGCGCGGACTGGACATGAGAACGTGGCCAGTTCAAGGAAGAGGAAGAAATGTCAGTGTTGAAGCCAGTGTAGACAGTGGGAGTAACTGAATCTGAGGCTAGGGGCAGGGGTGGGGTGGGGTGGGTGAGAGATCACCCAGGGCTGTGGCCTGGAACTTGTGCTTTGTCCTGAGGGCACTGGGGAGTCATGGAAGGATTCAGAGCAGGGGAGGGACAGGGTCAGACTCTAGCTGCCTTCCGGAGTGTGGATTCAAGGGCAGTGAGACTCGGCTCCCAGACCAGGGAGGAGGCTGGGGATTGAGGAACAAGGAGGAGCCTGGAGCAGGACAGGGCCTCCGGGTCTGGGAGGGCAGAGCACTGGTTTAAGAGCGTTTTGGAGGATGAATGGAACATTCACAGGGGAGGCTGCCTGCCAGGGTGGAGGTGGGGCAGGAAGCTGGGCAGGCAGGGAGGCCTGGAAGGTTATGGGGGATGGAGGAGCCTGAGGTGTTGGTTTAAGGAGCTGCAGAGAAGGGGTGAGTCAGAGCCCCGCCCCCACCCCAGGAATCCTCCTTGGGAGGGAGCCGCCCAGTGTGGTCGGCTCCTGAGGGCTCCAGAATCAACCTTTCTCTCGTCCTCTGCCCAGGCCCTGGACTGTCTCCGTCTGTCTTTCTGTCTCTCTGTGTGTGTGTCTCTCTCTACATCTCATTTCTACCTCTTTCTCAGTTTCTCTCTCTCCCTTATTGTCTCTCTTTTTTTCCTCTTCTCTTTCCTCATTCATTCTCTTTTCTCTCTCTTTCTCCATTCTCCCTCTCTCAGTCCTCCCTCCCTCAGTCTCCCCCTGGGTCACCCTCTTCCCGTACGGACCCCGGTCCCCCAGTTCCCTCGGGGAAGCAGACAGCATCAGGAGGGGGAGCCCAGGGCCCGTGGGACCCAGGGGCGGGGTGGGGCCGGACACCTGGTGCCCCCGCCACGCAGGAGTTGGCTCCGGAAACCCAGACAAACCCCGGAGTCCGGGACCCGCGCCCCGGCCCACCCCGCCCACCCACGTTATCTCTTCCTGGCACCTTCCGCGGCTTCCTCTCTGGAAAAGCCATTAGTGCCTGGCCTCCTCCTGTCTTCTGGGTTCCCGAGGAGCCGCCCTTAGGCCCCGCCCCCTCTCCCCGTTGGCCCGCTCTCGCAGGCCACACCCACCGGCCTGGCCACACCCCTGCCCTGATTGGCCTTCTGAGACCTGCACACCACTCCTTCCCCTTCCTCCTGCAAATCCATCTATGGCTCCGCAGTGCCAATCAAGACACAGGGTCTACAGTGACCAAGCCTTGTTGCTTCTCCCCTGCCCCGTGTCACCCGCTCATCCCCCACGTGTGATTCTGCCACACTTGGTCCAGCCATCAAACAACAGCACACACCGTTTACCTCCCCATATGCTCTCCCCCAACAGTACAAGGCCTTTCTGCACTCTTGGTAACTACCCCTCTGTGCCTCAGTTTCCCTGTCTGTCCCAGTGTCCGATGTGGATGAGTCCTCTGGCTCTGCCCTTCGGCTGAAGTGGTAGCTGCTGCTAGAAGGGGCGATTTCACTGTGCTGTGACACTTGAGGCCAGCGTCTTGGGAGGTTCTGATTCTAAGGAGACCAGGATGCCGTGAACCTTCATACCGAGCTCGCTGAGGTGACTCGATAGCATTAATTCAACAAACAATTATTGAGCACCTACAATGTGCTCCTGCACTGTTCTAGGTCCTGGGGATAGAGCAGGGAACAAAACCAGATAAAGTCTCTTTTCTTGTAGAATTGCTTTTTAATTGGGAAGTGGATGTGAAACAAATTAATCTCTAACATTATATTGTATGTAATAAGGATTATGAAGAAAAATGAAGCAGAGAGACTGGTGAGAGGCTATTTTAGGGTCACTGGCGAGGGTCTCCTGGAGTAGGTGATATTTGAGCAGAGGCCTGAAGGAGGGGAAGGGGTGAGCAGAGTGGAGATCTGGGGGAGACCATACCCAGGCAGAGGGAACAGCAAGCGCAAAGGCCCTGAGGCTGGGACGTGCTTGAACAAGGAGCCCAGGGTGGTGGAGATGGGAGATGAGGATTCAGAGCCAGCCAAGGTGCCACCAAAATGTTTAGAATTCTAAACCTATGACTCATTAAAAGGACTTTTTTTTTTTAACATCTTTATTGGAGTATAATTGCTTTACTATGGTGTGCTAGTTTCTGCTTTATAACAAAGAGAATCAACTAGACATATACATATATCCCCATATCTCATCCTTCTTGCGTCGTCTCCCTCCCACCCTCCCTATCCCACCCCTCTAGGTGGTCACGAAGCACCGAGCTGATCTCCCTGTGGGATGCAGCCGCTCCCCACTAGCTCTCTATTTTACATTTGGTAGTGTATATATGTCCATGCCACTCTCTCACTTCATCCCAGCTTACCCTTTCCCCCTCCCCGTGTCCTCAAGTCCTACATCTTCACATCTGCGTCTTTATTCCTGTCCTGCCTCTAGGTTCTTCACTAAAAGGACTTTTTAACGAGTGCTTTTAATTGAACATTTAAGACCATCTCATGGGAAAGCACTCATGTTCTGTCAAACGTGCCCCCTCCCACCTCTGACCCCAATGGCTCTCAGGTTCTCTTCCTTGCAGGCAACCCCTGTGAGTAGTTTCTTGTGTCTTTTTCCAGATATATTCTATTTTTATTTAAGCCTATCCATTTAATTATTGAGCTTCCTATTAAAAATAGGACATATGAATGCTCTTTTTTTTCCCTCTTCTTTCTTTTTTTAATAAAAATATTTATTTATTTATTTGGCTGCGGCGGGTCTTAGTTGCGGCGTGAGGGATCTTCGTTGCGGCGTGCGGGATCTTCAGCTGCGGCACGTGGGATCTTTTAGTTGCAGCATGTGGGATCTAGTTCCCTGACCAGGGATCAAGCCCGGGCACCCTGCATTGGGAGTGCAGAGTCTCAGCCCCTGGACCACCAGGGAAGTCCCCTCCTTTTTTGCTTTTCGATAACTTATGAGATCGTGGCTCAAAGGTTCTCAAGTTCATTGTTTTATTCCACAAATATTTCTTGAGGCTTTTCTCTGCACACTGTGCCGGCGCTGGGGACAGAGGGAACAGACAAGGTCCCAGCCCTCCTGAAGCTCACATTCTGATGGAAGGAGACAGAATAAGTAAACTAACACATAAATGAAATAATGATGAATTGTGATAAGTGCTGTGAATGAAACAATAAAAGTAAAGGTAGAAAGGAATTGGATGGTGGTGCTTGCGGCACCTGCTTCCCATAGGATGGCCTCTGTGAGGAGGTGACATCAAAAGGAAGCTGAAGGAGCCAGTTGTTGGGAGACTAGGGCAGAGTTCCAGGCGGGGAGTAGCACGTGCAAAGGCCCTGAGGTAGGAAAGTGGTTGGCATGCTGATAAAAAAAGGATGGCAGGTGAGGAAGCTGGAGCAGATGGAGGGAGATAAAGTTGCATGAAGTGGCAGGAGCCAAGTTGTGTAGAGCAGTCTCGGGCCCTCATTACACTCTTAAAAATTATTGAGGCCCCCAAAGAGTTTGTATGTACACGGATTAAATCTTTCTATATTAACCGTATTAGAAGTTAAAACTGAGGGTATTCCCTGGAGGTCCAGTGACTAGGACTCAGCACTTTCACTGCCATGGCCTGGATTCAATCCCTTATCGGGGAACTAAGATCCCACAAGCTTCGCGTTACATCCAAAAAAAAAAAACAAAAAAAAAAACAGTAAGTTAATACTGAGAAAACGTTTCATATTTATTTCTCTCATAATATTAATTAACCAACAATACTTATAATTATTTTTTTCGGTCGTGCCGCGCGGCTTGTGAGATCTTAGTTCCCTGACCAGGCATCAAACCTGTGCCCTCAGCAGTGAGAGCACAGAGTCCTAACCACTGTACCGCCAGGGAATTCCCAAACAATACTTATATCCTTATTAATAAGTAACATTTATTATAAATGTTACCTATACGTTTTGATCATGTCGATGTATACTAATGAACAGATATTGTTAATAATTAACATTGTAAGATCATTTAAAATAGCAAGAAAAAATCTACTACCTGTTAACCTAAGTAACAGATGTTGTATGAAAATTAACTGCTTTCCAAACTCCCAAAAAAAACCCAACTTAGGGAGCACAGTGGCCCTGTTTTACATGTTTGCAAATCTCCTTAATATCTGGCTTCAGAGGAGACATCTGGATTTGCGCATCTGTTTCTGCAGTCAATTGCAATATCTTTTAGCCTTTAAAAACTCGACTGTCTGCTGGGGAGGAAATGAGAGTGAAAAGACACACAGCACCTTAATATTCTTATGAAAATAGTTTTGAGTCTGCAAACCCCTGAAAGGGTCTCGGGGACCCCCGGGGCCACGCTTTGAGAATTGCTGCAGTAGGGCCTTATCAGCTGTGGGAGGAATTTTGCACCTGGATAAGAAGCAAATTGTTACATAGTAGCAGTGTCTCATGGTGCGGCACTTGTTCCTTAAAAAAGCAAAACAAAACAAAAACGACCCTCCAGCGGCTACTTCATGGGGAAAGGATTGGAGGGGCTGGAGGGGCCAGAGGGAAAGCCAGGAGCCCAGTGGGGTGACTGGTGTGTCCCCCCCAGGCAAAAGATGGGACTGCTGGGATTGGGGGTGCAGCAACTGAGGTGCAGAGAAATGGAAACGTAGAAGAGAGATTTAGGAGTTAAAAGGGCTCGCTGATGAAATAGATGTGGCCAGTGAGGAGAGAGAATCAAATCAGAAATGATTTCCAGATTTCCGGGCTGCACTGGGTAGGGAGAGGTGGAGGTGCCGTTTGTCTCCCGAGATGGGCACAGCTCTTGGAGCTGGACCTGAATTCCATTGCGGGCTTCCGAAGACGGAGCTGTCCGGGAATGTTGACAAGGCAATCAGCTCTGAGTCTTAAGCTCCAGGGAGAGGCCAGGGCTGGTATGTAGATTTGGCAGTGGACGTGGAGGGATGTTTATGCCACGGGAGGGGCCGAGAGTACCTAGAAGAGGTGGGAAGCCCTTGTACCCACGGCAGCAGCAGCTCACCTGTAATTGTTAGACATGCACATTCTCAGGCCCTAGTGAATCAGAAACTCCGGGCGACCCGTGTTTTAACGAGGCCCGCAGGCGACGGTGAGGCAGGCTTAGGTGAGAGCTCTCCTTCCCACAGGTTCACACCTACATCATCAGCTACCTGAAGAAGGAGATGCCCTCCGTGTTTGGGAAGGAGAACAAGAAGAAGCAGCTGATCCTCAAGTTACCCGTCATCTTTGCCAAGATTCAGCTGGAGCATCACATATCTCCCGGCGACTTCCCGGACTGCCAGAAGATGCAGGTGGGAGGCCGCCCGGGAGCGAGGCATCGGGGGCTGATGTGATGGGAAGGTTGGCTTCCACGGGCTCCGGGATGGGACCTTGAAAACTAGAGGGATGGATGGCAGGTGCCTGAAAGCACTTCCCGCAAATGATTCTGTGGGAGCATGGTTTTGTGAATTAAGGGAGTGAACAGCAAACCCAAAGCAACTGTGGCTTAGTTAGGATAGAAGTTTATTTCTCTCCTTCATAAACGTCCTGGAATATGGTCCAGGGCTGGTTTGGTGCTTTACAGAGCCAGGGACCCAGTCTCCTTCTGTCTTAATTCTTCTCCAAGTCTGGCCTCCAGTCTCAAGAACCCCCTCATGGTACCAAATGGCTGTGGAAACTCCAGCCATTGTGTCTGCATTCCAGCCAGCAAGAAGAGGGGGAGGAGCGGGGCCGGAGGGGAAGCTAATGGTACAGTCTCTCTCTTTAAGAACATTTACTAGAACAGTGCTGTCCAATAGTACTTTCTATGGTGACTTCCTATGCCGTGCTGTCCAACGTGGTAGCCACTGGCCACATTAAAACTGAAACTTTAGGTTTTAATTTTAACTAATTTAAATTTAAATAACCACATGTGGCTACTGTATTGAACAGGGCAATTCTAGAGTTGCAGGTGCAACTTGTGCTGACATCCAATTGGCTAGAACTTAGTCACATGGCCACAGCTGCTGCAAGGGAAGCTGGGAAGTGTAGTCTTTTCTCTAGGTGGCCAGATACCCAGGTAACATTCAGGGATTCCGTACTGAGGAAGAAAGGAAGATGGATATTAGGGGATAACCGGAGGCTCCTCACATGTCCAGGCCTAGGATTAACCAGTGTCGGGGAAAGCACTGAGTCTGGGTGTGGTGGCGTGGGGTAAATGAAGAGCCGCAGGAGGTGGGCAGGGCAGGAGTGACCATTGGACGTGGGGACAGAGGTCCAGACTCAGGCATGGAGGCAAGGACTAGCACCCCTGGCCCAGGCTCTGTTTTGAGGTTGTGTTAGGCTGATACTGAAAGCCTGTGACCTTTAGGTCTTAGATATTTCTAGTTCAATACTGAACAATTATAATAGAGTGAATTTCCCCTTGGTCACTGACTAGCTCTGTGAACCTGGTCAAGTCACTTAACTTTTCTAAGCCTCAGTTTCTTCAACTGGAAAATCGGCATCCTGATAGGATCTACCTTGGATGCTTAATTGGCTAGTGTTCGCGACTTCCTTAGACAGTGTCTGGCACAGAGTTTGGGCCGAATCAAGGTTTCTCAGCCTCCACACTCATGACATTTGGGGCCAGATAATTCTTCCTTGTAGGGGGTGTCCTGTGCATTGCAGGCTGTTTAGCAGTATCCCTGGCCTCTATTCACTAGATGCCAGTAGCACCCCCGAGTTGTGAAAGTCAAAAATGTCTCCAGGGGCTTCCCTGGTGGCGCAGTGGTTGAGAGTCCGCCTGCCGACGCAGGGGACGCGGGGTCGCGCCCCGGTCCGGGAGGATCCCACGTGCCGCGGAGCGGCTGCGCCCGTGAGCCGTGGCCGCCGCGCCTGCGCGTCCGGAGCCTGTGCTCCGCGATGGGAGGGGCCGCAGCGGTGAGAGGCCCGCGTACCGTGAGCCGTGGCCGCCGCGCCTGCGCGTCCGGAGCCTGTGCTCCGCGATGGGAGGGGCCGCAGCGGTGAGAGGCCCGCGTACCGTGAGCCGTGGCCGCCGCGCAAAAAAAAAAAAAAAAAAATGTCTCCAGATATTGCGCACTGTCCCCTGGGGGACACCGTCATCCCTGGTTGAGAGCCGCTGGGCTAGATAAAGAGCAGCTGTGAATATTACGCTGACATTTATTGAGCACTTCATCCACGTGAATTCATTTAGCCTTTCCCACCTCCCAGTGAGGGGAGTGCTAGTCCTCAACCTGTTTTACAAATCTGGAAACTGACGGGGAGACCAGAGAGCTCAAGTCACTTGACTGAGGACACACAGCTTCCAAGTGGCAGAGCTGGGTTGGAACCTGGGCAGCCTGGCCCTGGAGTCCTCCCTACTCATCACCATTAATCACACCCCCGTCTCTTTATGGTCATGATCAGTGGAGCGCTCTGCCTTGGCTCTGGAAATTAATGTGGTGCTGCGATATGGATTGGTCTCTGCTGCAACTCTTCTGGTGCAATCGCTTTAACAGCTGCACGTGTGAGAAGCAGCATGACCACAAACCCAGCCCTGCAGCGGCTCTAGCACCAGATGACTTCTTGCCCCGGGGGTCGGGGGGTAGTCCCAGGATCTCCTGATGACCTGTCCATCCCAAACCTAACCTCCAAATATGGAGCAAGCCGCTTAGCTCTTTCTGTGTGGTGGGGTAACAGAGCCAGCAGGGTGGCAGGAATTGCATTTTCTCAACTTGCATAATGGTGGGGATGCTGACTGGGCAGCTGGGGTGCCGTAGAGTGTGGGCAGGACTGAGGGCTGACGGGTGTGCTCTGGTAGAGCTGTGGCTGATGTCAAAATGTTGAAATCCTTCTCTACCAGCTGGTGAAAGGCCCCTGCTCTCCCTACTGTCCGGGGATTCTGGGGTCATGCCCGGCACTGGGTGGGGTGGGGGGCACCGAGGGACCTTGCTGCCCAAGTCTCTTCTGAGTGGTGGGCACCCAAGCGGAGTGGGGTGTTCAGATAACCAAATGCTTCTGCACCTCTCTGTCAAGAGCTGCCCAAGTGTCCCGGAGCCAGCACGGGGCTGGGGGGCTTCGGGATGGTGCCCCCTGACTTCTCTGTGTTCCCCTCCCCACAGGAGCTGCTGATGGCTCACGACTTCACCAAGTTCCACTCGTTGAAGCCGAAGCTGCTGGAGGCGCTGGATGAGATGCTGACGCACAACATCGCCAAGCTCATGCCCCTGCTCCGTCAGGAGGAGCTGGAAAGCACGGATGTGGGCGTGCAGGGGGGCGCTTTCGAGGGCACCCACATGGGCCCCTTCATAGAGCGGGGGCCTGACGAGGCCCTGGAGGATGGCGAGGAGGGCTCGGACGATGACACTGAGTGGGTGGTGACCAAGGACAAATCCAAATACGATGAGGTCTTCTATAACCTGGCGCCGTCCGACGGCAAGCTGAGCGGCACCAAGGCCAAGACCTGGATGGTGGGTACCAAGCTCCCCAACTCTGTGCTGGGCCGCATCTGGAAGCTGAGCGATGTTGACCGAGATGGCATGCTGGACGACGAGGAGTTTGCCCTGGCCAGCCACCTCATCGAGGCTAAGCTCGAGGGCCACGGGCTGCCCACCAACCTGCCCCGCCGCCTGGTGCCACCTTCCAAGCGGCGCCACAAGGGCTCCGCTGAGTGAGCCAGCTGCTGCCTGCCGGCCCTTCCTCCCTCTTGCCCTGCTGTGGCTCCCCAGCTCTGGATGGCTGCACGCACATCCCCACCCTGGCCCACGTGCACCCTGCCTGCCCACTCTCCCAGCTGTAAGGATGGGGGTCCCTCTGCCCCCACTGCCAGACAGTGGGGACCAGGGGAGGGGCAAGGCTTCTCTGCCCACCCTTCACACCTCTACCCTCACGTACACTTAGCACATCATTCCGACACTAATACACACACACACACACACACACACACACACACACACAGAAGCATCCATCCATGCATCATTCATTCGAAAATTTGTTTGAGCACCTACTATGTTCAGGGCTCCTTCCAGGCACTGGGGATTACAGCAGAGAGCAAAACAGACACCTCTATATGCCCTCATGGAGCTGACATTCTTAGGAGAGAGCACCTACAGAATCACTCAAACACACAGAGACACACACCCAGGCCTAACTGTCTGATCCCTGATTCTGAGCAGGACCCCTCATAAGTGAGCGGCCACTTGGTTGAAATGACTAACAGAGGGTCCCCTTGCCCTGCTTCCTCTTGCCCAGCCAGGCGGGGACCCTCCACCCCATGGTATCCTCAGGTCTTGGCACCACTGGGGGCTCAGGGGGGGAGACACACCTCCTACTTCCTCAGCTGGACCCCCTCAGCCCCTCCCCACAGTTCCTGCCACACCCCTTTCTTTAAGAAGGATCCTCTGCAGACCAAAAACCGCCTTCCATCCCTGCTTCTCCCAGAAGGCGTCCACTCTGAGGCCTTTCTGTCCTCCACTCACCTGCCCTGGATTGAAAGCCCAGCCTGCTCCCCCCACCTCAGGCTCCCCACAGCTGGTGGTCCGAGTTTTAGACTGCTGGGGCACAGCCTCTCGGCCCACCATCCGTCCATATTTAAGTGGAGCCCCTGCCAGATAGGCCCCAGGATGTTATTTTAGTCCCCTTTTCAGGGACGTCGTGGGGGGAGGGGCTCTTGGTGCTACAACCCTCCCTCCCCTCCCCTAAAGGGAACTCTCACCCCCCTACACACACACCTTTTCCTGCCTTCGCTAAGTATTAGTGCTCGACCCTGTTGGGGGACCACACGGAAAAGATGGGGAAGCGCGAAACAGATGGGGACGATGCCCCCTCCAGGGTGTTCGCTGGGATTCCCACGCCCATCACCCCTCACCCCGTGCCTGGGAGGGGATTGTGAACGTAATAGCGTTCCCACAGTGCAAATAAAGCCATGGCTTCTTTCCCTGTGGGAGTCAGGCTGTCTTGGGATGGGTTAGAGGTGGGTATCGCTCTCCCCACCAAACCCCCTGGGGAAGGAGAGCCCTGGGCAGAACTTCAGGGGGGTACCCTCCAAGCTCTCAGGGGCAGAGGTGGAGGCCGTGACTCAATGCTGCGGGAGCCTGATGACTCAGGCCTGGGCTGGGGACCAGACCGACATATTTTCCGAAGAAAAGTTACTCTGAGGCCCTCCCTACGGGACATCCCTCCTTCAAACCTCCTTCCGCGGGGGCCTGGGAACCAAGCCCTGGGCCGTGGGGTTGTGTGTATGTGTGTGTGTGCCAACTTGGTTACAGGGTGCCCCCGTCCTCCTCCCTGCCCGCCGACGTCCACCCACACAACCTGGGTACACAGCTCCTGACACGAAACACCGAGGACAAGCGGGCTCCCGGAGCGGGAGGAGGTGATGCTGCCCATCAGGACCACCAAAGTGTGCGCACGCGCTCGCTCACGCCCAGGGGGGACCCCGCTCGGGGTCCCGCCGGCTCACACCCAAGGCCACACCCGCGGCCCCCGGGACACGCTGGCCTCGCGCCCTCCCCGCTCACCGGGCGCGGCTCCCGGCGCCCCCTGGTGGACACACGAGAGCTAGGCTGGCCGGTCGCTGAACCCCCTGCCCCAGGTGGTGGGTGATCAGGTCTCTAGGGCCAAATCCCGGGCCTGTCACCTTCCCCAGGCCGAATTCCGCTGTGTAAACCCCCGCGTGGCGCCTTCCTTCTCTGTGCCTTTTTTTCTTTTCGAGTGGAGAACGGCCTTATGAGGCTCTGGATCCCTACGGATGGTTGCCAGGGCTCAAGGGCATCTGAGCTCCTTTCCTTATTTGTAAACAGCATAGACTAATTGGTTCTAAGATAAAGTCTCAGGGGGCGAGGTAATAACAATAGTTAACATTTAGATCCCGGCACAATCTTAAGGGTTTTGTATATATTACTTTGTTTAATCTCCAGAATAACCTATGAGGCAGATGAACCATTATCGCCCCCATTTTACGGATGAAGCAACTGAGGCACAGCTATGTAGCTTACCCAAGATTAATGATTCTGAGCCTGTCCTTCTAGGGTTCTAATAATGTATGTTTCTAACATTTCTCGCACGTAAATGTTCTGTGCTCCCAACCTCGACATTCCGAAAACTCTGATTTCCAAGATTCTAGGGTTGGAACATTGACAGGTCAAAAGTTCTGAGATTGGAAAGTCTTGTGTGCCGAATCTGCCACTGACGGGTATAACTTTTCTTTTTTAAGAAAACTAGATTTTTAAAAAATTCAACAAGTTAAAAATGATACTCAGATTTTAAAAGTATTCCTAGGCGGCCGGGAAAGGTATTTCGCCTAGGGCTAGAGCCCCAAACCTACAACCTGGGGCGGACCGGAATCTGCAGGAGAGGGAGGAGCCATTTATCCTTTACCAAGATACTAGCCTTCCCGCCCCTTTGCGGCTCCAGACACCCTACCAAGATGGCGGTCGCCGGAAGTAGGTCACGGGAGGGGCGGGATTTCGGCGCGCGCATGCCCCAAACCGGATTTCCGGGCGCCGGAGAAGAAGTTCTTCCTTTCACAAGATGGCGGTGGGGAGCGGTGGAGGTGGTGGCGGCGGCCAGTGCTCGAAAAGCGCGGCCGATTCCGGCTTCCTGGGGCTGCGGCCCACTTCGGTGGACCCGGCGCTGAGGCGGCGGCGGCGAGGCCCAAGAAATAAGAAGCGGGGCTGGCGGCGGCTCGCTCAGGAGCCGCTGGGATTGGAGGTCGATCAGTTCCTGGAGGACGTGCGGCTGCAGGAGCGCACGAGCGGGTGAGTGCGGCGGGACTGCGGACAGGTGGGCCACGTTCTCTGTGGCGGGGTGCGAGGCCGAGCTGCCTGAGGGGACTTCCGGGGGCCTGGGAGCCCCTGTGTGGCACCGCTGGGGAAGCCGAGGGGTTGGACTGGGAACTCCGGGTGACGGCCTGGGGGACTTGGTAGGGTCACCGGGTACAAGACGGCCAGTTAAATTAGAAGCCAGGTAAACCACAAACACTTTACTGATGTCAGTACGTATCACGCACCCAGCCTAGTTGAGTGCGTTTTAAGTAGTAAACTTTGCAAACTGGAGGGAGGAGCTCTGGCCTGGAGGGGTCCCAGGCGGGAAGCTCGTACTTGAATGAGCATAACAGGAAAGCTGAGCCCAAAGAGCTGAAACCTGCTCCTTTCTTAGCTTCGTGTTCCTCTCCCCAACATGTATGGCTGACTTTCTGAATTTCTGTCTTCCAGTGGCTTGATATCAGAGGCCCCCGATGAGAAACTCTTCTTTGTGGACACTGGCTCCACGAATAAAGGTGAGGAAGGGTTTTTGTGGCGGGTGTATGGCGATGATTAGTCCTTATTGAGGCTCCCTCAGCCTCTAAAAGCCTCTGAGTTAATGACGTGGCTTGGGTGGAAAACACCTGCCAAAAAAAGGTATTTACCATATAAGCAAGAGACCCTGGAATGAACAGAAAGCAAGTTAGGGACTAACGTATTTTTTCTTCTGAGGTTTCAGAGAGGTCTCAAGGCCCAGAGAATCCAGTCGGGATCTGCCTTGTTGAGCAGATAATCATAAGTCAGGAGGTCTCCGTTAATTTGCAGAAAACCAAGTCAAGGACTTGCTGTAGGGAATCATACCTGTTTCACTCAATAGGATGTTTGTTCTTTAACGAGAACAGAAGGATCCACTTGAATAAGAGACTCCTCTTGACCCGCTTGCTTTCATCTGCCAAAATGCAGGGTCGGGACCTTCTAAAACGAGTTGAGGAGAAGCAAGTCAGGGTCTGCCTCCGTGAGTAATGAGGTTTACTGTCAATACCTGGAAAAACGGATGAAGAATAAGCGACTCGTTTTAAGGAGGGGCTAGAAAAGCGAAGGGGTCCGTGTTAACTGGAAGGCCGATAGCTTTAATGAGCAAAGCGTCAGGTTACTATAACAGCAGGGTGGCCTTTGTGAGCACGTATGAGATCAGTCAAGGGATCTGGTCTAAGGGACGTGAAGGAACCTCTTGGGGGAGAGCGGTCTTCGAGTGAGCGGGTAAGGAGGGGGTATTAAAGAGGTCGACTTTCACAGGAGTCAGGAGACCTGCTCTGTGAACAGAAGAGTGAAGGCAGGGAGCTGCCCTGGTGAACAGGCGAGGAGGTAGTTACAGATTCTGCTTTAGATTAAAAACAAAAAACAAAAAAAAAAAAGCAGAAGGATAACAGCGATTGTGCGCTTTCGCGGGTGATCACTGTGCTGTGGAGTCGGAATACAGTGGACCCTTGAACGATGCAGGGGTCAGGGGCGCTGACGTTCCATGGGGTCGAAAATCCACGTGTAATTTGTAGTTGGCCCTCCATACCTTGGTTCCACATCTGTGGATTCAACTAACTGCACATCGTGTGTTCCTGTAGTCTTTGCTATTGAAACAAATCTTGGTATAAGTGGACTCTCGCAGTTCAAACCCATGTTGTTCAATGGTCAGCTGTAATTATTGGGTTGGCCAAAAAGTTTGTTTGGGTTTTTCCGTAAGATGTTTGGCAAACCCCGAACGACCTTTTTGGTCAACCTAGTACATCTCCGCCTGATCCTGTGAGGCGGGCATTAAACCTCATTTTGGCAACACAGAGGAGGAAAGTCACTTTCATGAGGTCCCTTAGCAAATGGAAGGATGCGGATTCTATCCTAATATGTTTTGTTCTAGAGTCCTGTTTACTATTAGGCTT